TTCCTGGCACTGTTAGACCTGATCTCACTTACCCGTAGCCCTGCTTTTTTGTTTGTTTTGTTTTGTTTTGTTGTTTTTTAAAAACATATTTTTATTGATTTCAGAGAGGAAGGGAGAGGGATAGAGAGATAGAAACATCAATGATGAGAGAGAATCATTGATCGGCTGCCTCTTGCTCGCCCCCTTCTGGGGATCAAGCTCACAACCCAGGAATGTGCCCTAGACTGGAATCGAACCCAGGACCCTTCAGTCCGCAGGCCAACGCTCTATCCACTGAGCCAAACCAGCTAGGGCTGTTTTGTTTTGTCTGCCCCGGAAGGGCAGGAAACTGTCTTGTTCCCCCACAGGATCCCCACCTCGTCATAGGATGCTGCCTGCTGGGCTTACAGAGAACTCCATACACATTTGTTGAGTAAATGGGTGAATTGTGCTGGCCACAGCGCCACCCTTGCTAGGTCACATGTCAGGCATCGGAAACTACACCACAGAGCCCTGTTGTTTAAAGTCGGTGTGAGACGCGCAGGCCCAGCCTTGGAGAAGCGTTGCAGGATCTGCCGGCTTAGACTCTGGTGACGGCGACTAGCTGTGGTCACTAGTTACTGTGCACGTCCTCATCCAGGCAAGTGCCCTCTGCAACGCGCCCTCAGCCTGTGATGGGTTCGGAATGAGAGAGCAAGTTATGGAGCAACTGAGGGTATGGCACTACTTATGCTGTGGCCCAGACTTCATCTCCCCAGCAGCCCCGCTAAGGCTGATGCTCCTCTTTCCTCCTCCCTTGGGGAGGCTTCAGAAATCCAGCCTTTTCGGTCTCCTGCTTGGCTCCTCCCACCAATCTGCTTGGCTGCTCTTGCCACCTTTCCCTCTTCTGTGACCCTAAAGGCTAGCCCAGGCATTTCTGTTTCGTTTTATTTTACTATAAGAGTTTTTGCATGTAATTAATGTTGGAAAACAAAGATCAGCCCCGTCGGCATTGCTCAGTGGTTGAGCATCGACCTATGAACCAGAAAGTCACGGTTCAATTCCTGATCAGGGCACATGCCCAGGTTTCAGACTCGATCCCCAGTGTGGAGCGTGCAGAAGGCAGCCTATCAGTGATTCTCTCTCATCATTGATGTTTCTATCTCTCTCTCCCTCTCCCTTCCTCTCTGAAATCAATAAAAAGGATATATATGTTTTTAAAAAAAGAAAACAAAATATCAAACAGAAATACTTAAGAAAGTTAAAAATGTTGCAAAAATGTTACAAAACTCTGCTGGGACCTGTTCTATAATTCCTAATTCCAAGAGAGTAAATGGAAACCCCATGAGGTTTTCTTCTCTAATTTACTCTTTGGCGGGCAGGCACCGACACCTCTTTGAAACGCCATCCTCTGAGCCCCACTGTGTGGGCTGTTTCCCGAACCGTGTCCTTGTGGCTCTTAGAGAACAAGTCAGGACAGAGCAGCGTGTTCCCTGAGCGGCCTGCGTGCAGGGAATAGCTTCGTGCCAGCGCTGGACAACCTGGGACTCACCTACCTGGGCCCCATAGCAAGGCCTGAGCCGCAGCTGACCTGAGCCTTGGCAGAGCACCCGTGAGCCTCCGGGACACGAGCGCGTGCGGAGCTGCTGCCACTCCGTTCCCAGTCTCCCAGGGAGGTTGTCATGGGACCGTTTCTCATTATTTCCTGGATTGTGACTAAGGCTTTCTGCTCCCCTCCCCCCCCCGCCCCCACAGGACAGTTGCAGACCATATAAAAGCCAGTTTGCTCAATGACTAGAGCGTTGGCCCATGGACTGAAGGGTCTCAGGTTCGATTCCTAGTCAAGGTGTACCTCATACCTCGTACCTCGGTTGCAGGTTCCAAGCCCCAGTGGGGGTGCAGGAGGAAGGCAACCTAGAGATGGGTCTCTCTCATCTATGTTTCTTTCTCTCTCTCTATCTCCCCCCCCCCCACCTTGTCTTTCCCTCCCATCTTCCTCCCTCCCTTCCTTCCACTCTCTCTAGAAATCAATGGAAAAAATATCTTGGGTGAGGCCTTGGCCCTCAGCCCGGAGGCGGTCCACGGCTCGGTGCAGCCATCTGGCTCCTTCTGTTTTGGTGTTGGCCTTTTGGTGTGTGTGTGACAAAAGCTCGCGAGGAGTTGGGACTTTGGGCCAATCTTGCTTTCACTGTCTGTTTAAATAATAATCTGTCTAAATCTAAAAAGCACTCCTTCCTTTACCAGCCACATTTTTCAACTTTGCCTTAAACTATCTCATTCATTCATTAATGGCAACAACAAAAAACCCACAACCAACCAAGTGAAAAGCAGATACTAATTAATACCTTCCAGAGAACTGACGATGACGAAAATGAGGTCATGATTTCTTCTTAGCATTAGTCTCTCCTTAAGGACTTAGACAAGGAGACAAGCATTTACAAGGCAGCGGAGACTGCCACAGAGGAGCAGCGTAGAGCACCATCAGGGGGCCTACAGGGGGCGTGCTGAGGGGCAGGGAGGCACCAGGAGATGGAGAAAGAGAAGTTTTCACTTGGGAAGAGAAGCACAGGCCTTCGGATCTGGTGTTATCAGATGTCAAGCCTTTTCCAGGCTTGTCTCTAACAATTGCTTTGGAGCCCTCATTCCCACTGCTCAGCTCAGAAGTTCCTCCCTGGGGGCCCTTTAAGTCCACTGGTTAAGATCCCCTGTAGCTGAGGAGTGCACTGCACCAGGAGTCCTCTGTTTGCAAGTGACTAAAAGCCTAACTGTGGCAGGCATTGTTAGTGTCCTAGATGAAGCACTCCCCTTACTTCTTTTTTTAAAAAATATATTTTGATTTTTTACAGAGAGGAAGGGAGAGGGATAGAGAGTTAGAAACATCGATGAGAGAGAAACATCGATCAGCTGCCTCCTGCACACCCCTCACTGGGGATATGCCCGCAACCACGGTACATGCCCTTGACCAGAATCGAACCTGGGACCCTTCAGTCCGCAGGCGGATGCTCTATCCACCGAGCCAAACTGGTCAGGGCATCCCCTTACTTCTAATACAACTCTGATCTTTTGCATTTGGGAGTGGTGGGCGACACTGGGCTCAGCCATATGCAAGAAATTGTATTGGGGCCCTAGCTGGTTTGGCTCAATGGATAGTGTCGGCCTGCAGGCTGAGGGGTTCCAGGTTTGATTCTGGTCAAGGGCACATGCCCAGTTTGCGGGCTGGATCCCCAGTAGGGGGCGTGCAGGAGGCAGCCGATCAATGATTCTCTTATCATTGATGTTTCTATTTCTCTCTCCCTCTCCCTTCCCCTCTGAAATCAATAAAAAAAATTATAAAAGAAATGGTATTGAGCTACACCATCCATGACCATTCTATTTCCCTTGGCCAGGTACTCACGTTGCCTCCCTGGCAACTAGGAATGGCCATATTATTCAGTTCTGTTCACTGAGGTGTAAGGGGAAGTAGTCTGTCTTTCAAAAATTGTACCTAGCCCTGGCTGGTGTGGCTCAATTGGTTGGAATGTCCTCATGTGCACAGGAAGTTCTCGGGTTCAATTCCTGGTCAGGGCAAATACCTGGGTTGTGGGTTCCATGGTCAGGGGAAGTGGGATTTCTGGGTCATACAGTGTTATGAACTGTATGTTTTGCTTGCCCCCCTACCCCAAAACTCACATATTGAAACCCTAACCCCTATGTGATGGTATTTGAAGATGACCACTTTGTAAAGTAATTATATTTAGACTAGAGGTCTGCTGCACGAAATTCGTGCACAGGAGGGGGGTTGCCTCAGCCCAGCCTGCACCCTCTCACAATCCTGGACTGCTGGCTCCTAATCGCTTACCTGCCTGCCTGCCTGCCTGCCTGGTCGCCCCTAACTGCCCCTCCCCCCCCGCCACGCCGGCCTGATTGCCCCTCACCACCTCTACGTGCTGGCCTGATCGCCCCAACTCTGCCACCCCTGCTGGCCTGGTCGCCCCCAACTGCCCCCTCCCTGCCAGCCTGGTCGCTCCTAACTGCCCCCCACCCCCCCGCCGCCAGCCTGGTCGTAGGCAGCCATCTTTGTGAGGGCATGAGGGTTAATTTGCATATTGCCTCTTTATTATATAGGATAAGATCAAGAGGGTGGGGCCCTTATGATGGGATTAGTGTCCTTATAAGATACAGGAAGAAGATGCTTGCTTCTCCCTCTCCTCACTACATGAGGACACAGTGAGAAGTCCTCACCTGGGAACTGAATCAGCTGATTTTGGACTTCTTAGCCTCCAGAACCATAAAAAATAAATTCCTGTTATTTAAGCCATGTGGTATATGGCATGTTGCTATAGCAGCTGGAGCTGAGTAATTTCTATGGTCAGTATGTGCTCATTTTTATGGGAACCTGCCACTTTCCAGGGTAGGTGTGCCATTTTCCAACCCCATCAGCAATGTCCGAGTGTTCCAGATGCTCACCAGCACTTGCACTTGGCGTTAGCTTTTGAATTTTGTCCAACACTTTTATGCATCAGTTGATAGGAACATGTGGTTTTTCCTTTGGAAACTACTAACCTGGCGGATGACTTTGCTTTTGAGTAATAGGTGGTGGAACCCCACTTGGTGCAGGTGTTTCATTCTGTTTATACCCGGCTGCATTCAATTGGATAACATTTTGTTGAGGGTTTTTGTGCCGATGCTCATTAAGAGTTTTCTTGTACTGTCTGCTCTTTTTTTTCAATATTTTATTCTCTGTGCTGTTTAAATATGATAATTTCTATTGATTACAGTTATTTGCCCTGTCACCTGGATCCTTCCATTGAGCTCATACAGTGAATACTTTATTTTGGTTGTATTTCTCAGCTCTAAAATTTTCATTTGATTCTTATTTATATTGTTTCTTTCCTGAATTTTTCTATTTTTCCATTAATTCACTCTTACTTCCTAGGCATGGTTATTTATAATACCTTATTTAAAGTCTTTTTCTGATAATTCCAGTATCTTTATTATCTAGGTATTGGCATCATTTGATTTTTTCCTTGCAAAATGCAATATTCCGGGTTCTTCCCAGGCCTAGTAATTCTGCACTGTATCCTGTACATTTTGAGTCATGGTATGATTCTGGGTATCATCTAAACCATTAGGAGAAGATTGATTAGTTTGGTTTAGCAGGCAGTAGCCCTGGCAAGGGTCAGGCCACAAGTTCTGATCTGCACTGTGTGGGCTGTGGCTCCAATGTCAGTTCCGTTTTCAAACACTTGCAGTGCAGCTGGGAGCTGCCCTTTGTGTATGCCGCCCAGTGGTCAGTCTGTAGCTCCCTTCTCAATGCCTGCTGTCTGCTCCATGCACGTGCAGTGTAGGGGTGAGCAGAGGAGTTCATACATTGCTTTTGGGGACCACACTTGGTCTCCCTCCTCTAGGCAATAAACCCATCACTTTCTGGCTCCCTGAGGCCTCCATTACCAGCCATTCAGCTAGAAAGCTGGGGTTTCTGTGTCCCTGCCCTGCCGTTCACTCCTCTCAACTGCGTCTGCATCCTGGTCCAGGCAGAGGACACAGAATGAAGGCAGGGGGACTGGCACCATGCTCCTGGGACCAACGCTCCAAGTCAGAGCAAAGGTGCCCTCCCCTGAGTAGAAGGAGCCTTCCCCGGGCCCCCTGCCACTGCTGGGCGGCTGCCACATATTGCCGGGAGCCTGGGCCAGAGAGGAGCGACCCTGCTTTCCTCCTGAGAGGAGGGAGAAGAAATGATGAGGGACGTAGACAAGTTGGCAAATTTGGTGGTAAGAGGCTCTAAGAGCTGTGATCTTTCTCTCTGTAACACCAGAGGCACAATCATAGTCATCTGCCCACGATGAAGAAGGAGGCGAGGAGGAGGACGGCAAACACTGTTGACTGAGCCACGTGGTCCCCAATCCCGTTACCAGACATGCAACCAGGAAGCGTCAGCAGCCTTTGCAGGGGTTTCTTGGAAAGCCTTCGCTTTTCCTAGTAAAGGAGACAGCCATGTCCCTGCCTCTTTCCCACTTCCTTCCTGTCATGACCCCGGACGTCGTTCCTGGAGCTGGGACCGCTTCCTCGCATTCTAGAAAGTAAGTGTGAGGGGAAGTCAACAGAAGGACAGATTCCCCAGCCAGACCGGCACTGTCCAGCTGCTGGTGGAGAGAGAGCCAGCAGCAACCTGTCCTCCAGACTCCTGGTTGCAAAAACCAAACATTCCCACTGCAGGAAGCCTTCAGGAGTGATGGACTTGCTTTCAGAAAGAAGGGGAGTGAGGTAAAGAAGGAACATTGGGTTATAGATATAACACTGAAGGCCCAGATAAGGTGAAATCCATCTAAAAAATTTTCCCTTCGGAGTATTTACTGTCTGTGAGAACGAGTCGATCTAATGGGGTACTATTAGCATGCCAATTTTTATCAAACTTAGCCCCAGTCACAGTAATTCTCCACTAAGATAAGCCAGCATCTTCTCATTAGGAGACCTCTGTGCGTGCAAAATAACTCCCAGGACTCAGCAACACCCTTTGGAGACCACCATGGACTTTGATAAGATGATCGGAATCGCTTTCGGGTGGAGAAGTGCAGGTCGTCCACCATGAAAGGATGCAACTCTGTCAGGTTTACGGCAGCACCACGTGCAGACACTTCCCCGGGATACGTGATGCAGACGGTCACTTTATTCACATGGCGCCCAAGAAACTCTTCCCATCACTAAGCAGTGACTCACAGGACACACCCTCTGAGGCATTTGCTACTTTAATAGATGGCTTATTCCTCTCTTAACTAGCGACCGGCACCAAACAAAGAATCCCTACATTTTCAATAACGGAAAATATACAGAACTCAATATATTCCCCAGAACTATAAAATATAATCGCCATCAGCAGATTCCGGAATTAAAGCTTACATTTACTTCTCCCTCTACTAATCTTATGAATGGAGTAAGCAGAGCTCAGTGACCCCACCTCTGTGTCTGGGGCGACTCTAAGCACTGGACACAGGTGGATCTTCTGATGACGCGCTGACACTTCCTGAGGAGCCCCCCGCAGCAGAGAAGTTCCCCGTGTAAGGTCACTGTGACGCCAGGGAAACACAGCGATACATACATTCTCAGAACAGTCTTACCCAGACTCCCTGAGAAAGGGGAGGGCCTGCTGCATCCTGTCAGGACACGTTAATAACACACACATCGGTCATTTTACATTTGTACAGGGACTCTGACTGAACGTGGGTAAAACTTTGGCGGGTGCTCAATTGACTTCCGTGGTTTCATTCGTACAAGAGCGTCAAAATCCGGGGTCCCATTTTGCAAACATTTGAAAATCATCTTGTTAAGAACGTATAAGACCCTGACAAGGCTGCCTTGTGGTGCCTGAAACACGGTCACAGCTAAAGGGGGCCAGGAGGAGCCCGGAGGGACAGGCCTCAGCTGGGAAGGGCTTCCTTTTCCAGCAAAGCCATGGTACCCTCTCCATCACACACCGCACTCGCCAACACCCGGGTCACACCAGTCAGTCTCATCTGGAGTCTTTTCTTCATCTCCCTTTTCCTTCCCTTCACATTAAGAGGGTCATCAACCTTACATAAGCATAGACAACCCACCTCATTACCAGAACATTCCTTAGGCCGAAGCCACTCCCTGAAGACGTGTAGTCATCTTACTGCCTTCACTGAGTTATCTCCAAATTACATTGTAAAGGAGATTATTCTTTTTCCTACACAGGAAATTTGTTAGTCTCATCAGTAATGTCTAAGCTCTTGTGAGTTTTCGTAAGAGATTAAGTCCCTTTACTCACCAGCCTCCTGACAATGACCCTGGGCGTTTCAGCCTAGATCTTGAGGTACATATTCTCTTGGGCCTCCTCAATCCTATCCTCATATTTAAAAATCTAGTAACAGAAAGCAAAATGAGAAATGTTTAAAAAGTGCTTTCATCTTTGGTCTGAGAACTCTCATACTTAAGGTATGAAATGGAAAAGATTATCTGTTTTTATACGGAGTAACTCACATTCTTTCTCAACAGGGGACATGCATTTGTCTAAAAAGAAATACACAGTCGTCCCTCAGTATCTGCGGAGGATTGGTTCCAGGCTCACCTACCCACCCCCACCCCCACCCCCAGTAGATACCCAAATCAGTGGGTGCTCAATTCCCTTGTATGAAATGGCATAGAACAATGCACACAGTTGGCCCCCTGCATCTGCAGACTCAATCTGTGGTTGGTTGAAGCCGAGGAACACAGAGGGCCAACTGTATACTCACTGAGAAAAATATACATAAAGTTAACACTTGTGCTGTTCAAACCAGTGTTCGAGGGGCCACTGTACTATGTCATTGTTGGTGCAAAGAGCAGAAATAGAACGTGTCTGAGAATGTCTTTCAAGAGCTACTCTCCGGATGGAAATCAGAAGTTCAATTCAGTCTCGTCTGCTTTTCTGCTTATCAATACAGTAGCCAAAAAGCAAACAAGGCTGACATAAGATGGTCTGTATCCTCTCCTTTATGACCTTAGAGAAGACCCTGCTCATTAAGACCAGTGATATACACTAGGGAGCTACTGGTGCCGTGTGTCTTCCTCTGTTGAGAAAGTTTTGAGTAGACGCTTTGACTCCCTCCCAGGACCCACGCACGTGTGGCTTTTCCTGTGCCTGAAGAGATTCGAGCTCTGACTGAAGGCTTTCCCACACTCGTGGCACTTGTAGGGCCTTTCCCCGGTGTGGATTCTCCGATGCTGAATGAGGACCGCACTCCGGCTAAAAGCCTTTGCACACACGTCACATGCGAAAGGCTTCTCTCCGCTGTGGATCCTCTGGTGGAGTATGAGGGCTGAGCTCTGACTGAAGGTTTTGCCACACTCGTCACACGTGCGCTGTTTTTTTCGAGAAGGATTTCCGTGTCTGCTATCCAGCGTGCCATCTTGGCTGCTGGTTCCTCTGGATGTGGAACTCTGGGAAGCGTTCCTGTGAACGGTGTTAGGAACATCGCCATGCAGTTCTACGCCCGAAGAAGTCTTTGGCCTCGAAGCTGATTTCACATTTTGAGTTCTTGTGTCCTTATCTGAAATAATACACAGAAAAGCCAATGTCACCAGTTCCTCTGTTCAGAAAGAAAGGAAAATAGAACGATCCAAATGAAATATACACGGTTTATGTATTAGCTAGCATGCTTTATAATAGCATCACAATGTGGAGGAAGGGGAGGGTAAAGCAGAAAACACTGAGATCATAAAGCAAAGGGGAAAAATGTATAGTCCGAGGAGGCAGTCAACTAGGAATATGAAAAGCTCTATGTAGAAGGTAGAACGGTGAGTAGGGACAAAAAGGTATCTCAGAGACTGAAGGAAGTCTGGGCGAAAAGAGGAAGGGCCTCAGATCGATGTTTCTCTCTCTCCCCCTCTCTCCCCCTCTTTCTGAAATCCATTAAAAAGAGAGGGCTCAACTATGGTAGTAGGTCGTAATAAACAAGAGTGTCAATCAACAAAACAAAGCTTAATAATGACACTTGAATCAATAATTAAGGAAGGAGATGAAGAAAGCCAAGGGGACACAAAGGAAGATGGAAAATAAGGTCAGAAAATACAGATTAGGCGCGCGTGTGCATTCGCGCGCGCGCGCGCACACACACGTGCGGTGAGAGAACACAGAGCTAGGATAACAGCACCTCAAGAGATCCAGGGTAGCACAGAGTACCCGTCTACGAAACACCGCCACTCTTCTATGTCGTTTACAGTTCTACTTAAATGGCATCATTACTGGTTCAAATGGGAATCATCTTATTAGTAATGGTAAGGAGCTCAACTTCCAAAGCCACCTGAATGTCTAGTTACTACTATCGAAATCCCGGCAACAGTTAGCACCTGACAGCATGGAGACCAAGATCATCCGCAGAAGCTCCGACGTGACAGGACTCTGTCCCGAGGAAATCATGTAGCAGCCGTAAGACACGGTTCTGTTAGCCTGTCATGATTCCGGTTCTCTCTGCCTTGAAGTGAAAGATCCTGGGCCTTCTGCTTTTGGTTTAAAATTTCTATGCATTTAAAAAAGTATGTTTTCATTGATTTTTAGAGAGCAATGAAGGGAGAGGGAGAGAGAGAGAAAAACATCGATGTGAGAGAGAAACATTGATCGGTTGCCTCCTGCACACACTCCTACCAGGGACTGAGCCTGCAACCTCTATGCATCTTTAAAAAATGTAGGAGAGGCCTCTGTGAGGACAGCCACAGCTGGAACACGGTTCTTGCCAACAACAGGAGCCCAGGACCTGGCTTCGCGGCTGATCGCTTCTTTAGTTATCAGCACATGAAGCCGCGGAGGCTGGGATGGTTTCCCGCCCCATCCCCGTGTCCTGTGAAGACTGCCCCTTCTCCTAGGGAAGCCCAGGCGATCGCTACACTGCAGAGGCCAAGTGTGCAGTAGGCAGTTTGACAAGTTTCTACTTCCAAGCCTCTTGGAAGTAGATCTTGTCAAACAAGAGTGAGGAATCTTTTCTAAGTGTCCCTCTAAATTTTTATATATTGTTTTTTCTATAGTTTCTAATGAAAATTCCCTGGGGAAAAAAACCTAACCTTCCTTAGCTGACCAGCCACTCCTAAAATTTAAAGAAGAAGTGGGGGCGCGGGAGGGGGAGAGAAGAAACTGGGGTTCCCTCCCCATAGCACTTATTTTTTAGTACCTGCAATGGAAGAGCAGATACAAGAGCAGATACTGCTATGCCGGCCATCCTGAAGCATTTCTATAAAAAGTGACGCGAAGAGCAACAGAGGCCAGTTTAGAAGGAGAAGGAGAAAACCAACCACCAACAAAAAGAGCGGGAAGGAGCAGAGACACACATTCAAAGCCCGTGAGAGCAACATCACGGCCGCAGCGACATGGCGAGGTTGATACCGGATCCTCTCAGTAACCCAGCAAGAGGTCGCACAGAGCATGACACAGACCAAGGGCCCTTCTGACAGTAAAAGGGGTGGGACGAGGCCACGTGGGCGCCCTCGTGGGCAAGACTGCTTGCTCCTGCTTCGGTCAGAGCAGCTGTGCTTTCATCTGTTTTAAATATTGGAACTCCGCGTAAAAGTTCACTTGAAAAAAAACGATCATGCTGCTTGAAAAAGGTTTGACAATCCTGATGGAGATGATGCCAAGAATTTTTAAAATCTGCAGATTTTATGAGAATCTATGAGAAAGAACAAGCTATGAGAATGTCCGTCAGCACGACATATAGAGGTAAAGTAGAGGGAGAAATTCCCAAAGTGGGGGGTGCAGGGGGAAGCTGGAGACCTCTGTGCATGCTCGGGGCCTGGGCCCCCTGTGCCCACACCGGGAGCTGGTCCC